GGGGGGGGGGGTAAGGGCCTTAGCGGAGATCCCCCTCACACCACACTGGATGGAGTATTATTGGCCTTTGGCAATAACAAGCTGACCACGTGTCCTGCTCGGCGGGCTAGTGGCGCGCGAGTAACGCGGACGGGCGGGCGGTCCAGAGAAGCCTTGTGCACCCCCTGCCCTTCCCCGCGCCTACCCCCTGGGCCACGTAACCTTACAGTTCACTGGTCAGCCCTCTCCTCCCCCTCTCTTCCCCTCCCGTTCTTCCGCCTACCCCCTGTGCCACCCGGATTTATATTCGAAATAAACTGCTTCCCTTCCGCACCCCCTCTATATCAACCCCCTGAGCCCCCCTCCTCCTCACCCCCGGCGGGTTCAAGGCCTGCCGCCGGCTAACCCGCGGCCAACTGATAACCGCATGACTTTCTTATGGTTTCTGCTTCAGCTCCGAACTGGTAGTGCCGGTGGCGGCGCGCAAGTTCATGACACCTGAGGTAAAAATAATCGTCATTTCCACTATTTGCAAACAACTGAATTGGTAAGTGCGGGCTTCTTTCTAATCTTCATATGAACGACTCCCCGAGGACGAGACCGTATGCAACCGTATGCAGGAGCCACCCGCGACATGTCGACATGAACGTTAGGTCAAGACAAAACGAACAAAATTATCTCATCTCCCCCCCCCCCAAAAAAATGACTTGACCTTAACATCTCTAGGTGATATTTTGAGGTATCTCTGTCTAGTGGTCAGCCAGGCCAGGGACCATAGCCCGCCGGGGCCGGGCGGCCCCACCTCGGTCTCCACCCACGCGGCCTGACCGCGGAGGCGGTAAACAAGAATTAATATGCCGTTAGCGCTGCTCGGCGGACGATCGCTGGCGGGCCCGGGGGGGTCGTCGGGCCGGGACGGGCGGGGCCAGGCCGCCGGGCAGCGTAGCGATAGTGGACCGTCAGGTTGTCAACCTTCATTAGAGGCACAGGCGCCCCCGCCCGCAGCGCTACCTATGGCTCGCCTATGGCCGCAGTGGGTGGAAATGTTGAGTGGAGGCAGTCGTGGGAGTATATGGGACCTGGCTGCTGAGGTTCAGCGACCGGGTCGGCGGACCCCCACAACGCGACCATTTCTGCGGCATTTCGATTCCTGTCGTCCGCGATCTTGTTGCGGCTCGCTGCTGCCATGACCAGCAAGAAGCTAGCAAGTGGAGCAGTGCCTCGGCCGAGGAGAGGACACACCACCTGTGTTTATCGTTCGCGGAATCGACAGTCGGGCCAACACTTTTAGGCAAACGTGTCCGGATGACTCAGAGAAACGAAGACGATGATGATTGACGTCACGAGTGACGCCCCGGCCCCCGCTGTTTGGGGGTGGTTTGGTTACTTGTCGCAGACGCGCGTGCGGACTAAAAGGGGAACGACAGACACTATCGCAAGAATGTCAAATATTGTCACCGCACCGCTACTGTGTGGGGCCGACGGCAGTGCACACACACACACACACACACACACACACGTGTCACTCGCGCCACAGAGACCCCGCTGCAGTTTTGTTATTTCTAGTCGAAAACTAATGATGGGAAGAATGTGCAGCGAAAAACTCGACAAAAGGGGAGAAACAAGAGTCTTAATGAAAATTGCTCATGTGAGCGATGCCGGGGCGACGGGCGATGCAGCGCGCACGCGCTCCACGACGAGAGGCTCCAGTACCGCAGTATCTCGTTGGCGCTTGTGGTCCACCGCGGCTGCGGCCCAGTCACCCAGTTATCTGCGGCGATAAGCTGCTCGTTAGCAGAGCGGGGGGGTGTGCGGTGCGGGCGGAGGGGGGAGTGTTCCTCCTCCTGGACCCTGGCCGCCCTCAGGAGGTGGTCCAGGCTGGCGCGGGCGTGTCGCTGCAGCCAGCGGGGTTGACCGATGGCCGTGCACCCCGACGATGGCCTGGGGCTGCCTGCTGGGGCTGCTGGCCGTGCCCGCGACTTGTTGACGCGCTGGGCCCTGGGCCGGGCGGGCGGGCCCCGGGCGGCTCCCAAGCGTGCTGGTCCCGGCCGGGCGGCGGCTCCCAGCGGCCGGGGCGTGCGGCGAGGCCCGCCGCCGGCTCCGCTCCATTCCACGCTCGCCCTCAGCATGGCCCGGACGCGCACCACCGCGCTGGCCGCAGCCGCAGCCGCCGCCGTCTGCGTCCTCACCGTAAGTGTCGTCCCGCTGCCGCATTGTGTGCAAATATTGTGTCGAACGATACGCTTTAGCGTCGTCTGCTTGTCTACCATAGTGCGTTATTCAATTTTCAACTTGAAATTAGGCGCCATCCACATGTACTTGTCCACTGCGAACTGGGGCTACACATTTCTAGAACGGTGGACGGACTAGAAGCAAAAAATCGTTATGGTTGCCTGCTAGCAGTAGAAGTAGGAAGCCCTTCTGTTCGTTCCACAGTTTTGACAAAGGGCTTAATCGCTAATGTTGACCTTTTGCCTATGCCCTCTCTAATAGGAAGTCCTCGGCTGCCCCAATGTGTTAAAATGCTTAGATGTCAAAAAAGCAGCAGTTGAAAAGTTTTTCTTTAAAAACGTGTACCATCCGGTTCCATCCTAAAATTCTCATGACTGTGCTTTAATAGCGGTAACAAACAATGCACATAAATTACGTGATAAGCATTATGAAGCCGAGTTGCAGGGGGTAATCTGTGCCACGTAGCTGACTCACGCCGCTCACGTTCGTAGCGATACTGTACCGCATGCACGGGTGAGAACGATTTGCCTACATTCTCGCTGCCCTCGACTAGCTCCTTCTGACCCCGTGCGAGTAGGCAACCCACTCGCAACCGTGCATGCGTTACAGTATTACTACGAACGTCAGCCACCTGGTACTTGTACTCAATGTAGAGCCCCACATTTTTTGTCCCTGCGCGGTTGTTGGTGTGAGGTTGAGGTATGTGGCAGATGCAATAAACTTATATGGTGCTCTGGTCGGATAGCACGCCAGCCCAGCCGATGCGGGTCTTAGAGAGGGTAGGGAGAGAGGCTACATGGAAACACTATAAGGAGAGCAAAATGGCTCGCGTCCCTGCTCGTCCATAGTTTACAGCGTCTATTGATGCGCTGAGGTGTTTCGTAGTGCACAGACTTCCAATGGTGGCCCGTCGTAAATGCCAGGGCCAAGTCATGCTTAAGGCAACGAAAAATGAAAAGAAAAGAAAAAAAACTTGCATCGGCATAATCGGAAGATCGTATCGCCGGGGCTCCAAAACGGAATCTTCGAGCATGAACTTGAACTTATAGCGCGTCCGAGTTCCAAATCTGTAACAGATGCAGAGATGAGATAGGCATTTTGCGGTCAGAGTGGTTGAAGCTGGTTCGGGAATGCTCGGAATCACGCGTGGTTCCCAGCGAGGGCACACGCAATGGGGAAGGACCAGAGAGTGAAAGGGGGTTGGGGGCGGGGTGGCCAAGAGGGGGCGTCATCATCAAACAATCGCCGCGCACGCGTGGGAAAATGTCCATTGCGCTGCGGCCGTCCCTTTTGGACGAAGCGGTGAGTCACACCAGTCATACGTCATGCTCTGTTGTGGTCCGAGCTGCTCCGGTCCCTCCCCGGTCCGGCGCGGCGGGGCTGCCCGGCAGCCGTCACAACACTTCTGGGAATGCCGGCGCGCGGAGTGGGGCGTGGGGCGCCCCGGGGAAAGAGGGGAAGGGGGTGGGGACTCCACCCGTGGCGCTGGTGGTTCCGCCCTGGAGGCCCCCGCTGCCCTGGAGGCCCCCGCAGCCCTGAAGGTCCCCGCTGCTCCCGCTGCCCCCGCTGCCCCCGTGGTGCCACAGCATGCTGATTAATTCACCCGCGCGCCAAAGGCCCAGCACCTGCTCACGTATACGGAGGGGCGGTCTGGGCGCTTCCCCCTCCCCCGCGCCCTGCCCATTCGGTCGAACCTCCAAAGCAGACAGACGAATCTTTCATGAAGTCCATCGCTCTGCCATCAGGTGTGCCATGCGGCCGTCATTCCCACGACGTCCCGGACGGCGGCGGCGACGCCAGACACGGCCGCCGTGATCACCTCGACATCGCCACCCTCCACGACGGCGTCCACCGCGGCGCCGCGGCCATTTCTCGGCTCGGGGGGTGATTCTGGCTCGGCCCCGGAGAACGCCGGTGGTGGTGGTGCTGCTGCTGCCGCGGCCCGCGAGGAGGCGAAGGTCGCTGTGGCCGAGCCTGTCCGGGCTGGGGTCGTTTCACCTGGGCGTGAGCACGCACTGGACCGTGTCCACCCGCTGGCCGACCCCGCTCACGTGGCACATCAGCCTGCACTGGAGCCCGCCGCTCCACTTCTACCTCAACCTGGGCGTCACGCCGCAGGGGTCGTCGGGGTGGTTCCCGATAGCCACAAACTGGGGGTGGCGACGCCGGTGAAGGAAGGTAAGCTAATTAGATACGCGGGGGTCCCTTGGATTGGTACAGCTTCTATAGCTTTTAGAATGTCTCACAAAATGTTATCGATGTTGCAGGTGCGGGTGCAGCACGCACAATTGGAGACTTGAGCCCCTCACAAGAAGCGGACCTGCTCGATGCTATCATAACCGCTATTCAAAACCTGGCAGACGGCACCCCCGAGGAGTCCGCCACCGTCATGCCCACCGCTCGACCCGTCTCCAAGGCACGCGGTCTGCCGCAGGTGCACGTCATGAAGAAGTACGTCTTCTCCGACTCGTACCTGCCGCCGCTGATCCAGGTGGTGTCCCACCTGGTGGAGAAGGTGGAGGAGCGGGAGCAGGAGCAGGCGCTGGCGGCCGCGACGGAGGCCCCCGCCATCGACATGGACACCATCTACGTGGACGCGATCACCACCACCACCGAGGTAGCGCCCGCCCTCGGCGAGAACCCTATCGTGGTGTCGGTGCTGGGAGGGGAGCCCGTCGTGGTCCCGACGAGCAGTGCGGGCACCATAGCCATCCTGCCGGTCACCGACGAGGGTGGCCTGGTGCCGCCCCCCGTGGCCGACGGCACAGACATACACGTCGTGCCCATCGCTGTCGGAGGCACCCCGGTCACAAGTATGGGGTCGCAGGTCGAGGTGGCCATCCCCGACGGCCAGTCCCCGGTCGTTCTGCCCATCGCTAGCCTACTACCAGGGTTCTCTGCGGCGCCGTCAGTTCTAGCACCGGTCCCAGAACTAGCTCCGCCACCGGCACCGTCACCGGCTCCGTCATCAACTCCGTCCCCAGCTCCGTCACCAGCTCCGTCACCAGCTCCGTCACCAGCTCCGTCACCAGCTCCGTCACCAGCTCCATCACAAGATTCGTCACCAGCTTCAGCATCAACTCCAGCATCAGTCCCAGTGTCAGCTCAAACTGAAGAAACAAAAGAAACGACACCCGTGACGCCCGTAGACAAAGATATAGTGGTTCAGCTCGAGCCTCTCGTTCAAGCGATACCTGAATTGCTACCGCCTGTCCACAATCTAAAAGAGAGGAAGTGGCAGAATGATGACAAGGATGACGAAAAAGACGACAGAGAGGACGAAAGAGACGACAGGGAGGACGAAAAGGACGACAGGGAGGACGAAAAGGACGACAGGGAAGACGAAAAGGACGACAGAGAGGACAAAAAGGACGATCGAGAAGACGAAAAGCATGATAGAGAGGATGACAAAGAAGATGACAAGGATGACCGGGAGGACGAAAAGAACGACAGAGAGGATGAAAAGAATGACGAAGAGGACGACAAGGAGGATGACAAGAGGATCAAGTCAGCGAACAAGCAGACAGAAGACGACGACGAAGATATGATGGAGGACATGCCAGTAGTACAGCGAGACGTGCCCATCGTCAACGAGGAGACGGTCCCCATGATGATGATGTTCAACATGGTGCCGTCCGACGCACCCGAGATGGTCATGGACATGGCGATGCCCTCCGCCGCGGAGTTCATGGAGGCCATGGAGAACGAAGGCTCGCTCGAACCGCTCCATCGCAGCAAGCGCGAGTCGGCGCAGCCGATCTTCCCCAACGAGTTCAAGACCTTCCATTCCTTTCCGACGGCCGACCAGCCCAGCGAGGATGAGGACGCAAAGTCGATCGCCGAGGACGAGGAGAATGAGGAGATCCTCGACCTCCACGACGATGGCCCTTTCATCGACAGCATCCGCGGGGAGGCGGCGTGGACGAAGGAGTCCACTGTCCCCGCCTCACGCACACTCCTCAAGCTTATCAGGTTTCGCTACGCCCTCAGCACCGACGCCAAGCGACAGAACTTCAAAAACCTACAGGTACGGACTGCAATGTAGAAGTGCACCACTTCTGGAAACAAAGTAGTCTTGTGCGCCAACCGATCTTAACAGCTCAAGCTCTCCTTCCGCAGGGCCAATCGGAGACCGTGCTGGAGGACCTCGTGCAGACATCCAGTCTGTCCGGGAGGGAGCAGCTCGGCGTCTTGCTCAACACGGTCCTCAAGCGAGGGGAGATCAAGTCGCCCAAGACCCGGAGTCGCGCCGAGAAGGTGCTGGCCGAGCTGCAGGAGGAGGACTCGGACCTGAGCAGGCTGCTCGACGGCATCCCCGCCTTGAAGTACGGCCGGTAGACATCGGTAGGCTGCAGCCCGACGACCAAAGCGCGCCGATGATGAGGGCAAAATTCGTGCGGCCGGGCCACATAAAATAAAAACAAAAACAACGAAAAGCGGGGGAAACCCTGACTGACGCGGTAAAGAATCCCGCCGCTGCCTTCTGCTGCTCCGACCCCGATTAAAAGTTGGGCAAACAGCTCAGCGAGGGATGTGCATTATTAACGCCCGGGTCACGCCTCTCTCTCTCGCACACCGCGGGCCGGGTCAGCGGGCGAGCGACGGAGACAGAGCGCCCTCCATCCGGTGCACACAAACTCGCGTGTGCCCGCCCCCCGGCGCATACCAGACGGCGGCGGCCCCCGCGCCCCCGCCGTGCGCCGCCCCTCTGCCGACGGCCGCCCCCCGCCACACCTGCCTTAGCGGCCCGCAACATTTTAGAGGCCACTTACTTGTAGGCCTCCCTCCTGCTCTCGCTCCTGCTCGACTACACCGCCCTCGCCCTGCCCGGCCGCACCCGCCTTACCACCACCCCACCGGGTGATTTGCTTGCGACTCGTGTGTTAATGCCCCTCCAGATCCCCGTTACGGCCCCCCCTTGATGGCCTTCCGTCCGAGATACTGCACCCCCCT